CGCCTTCCGCCGGCTTTTTCGCTTCTACCGGCAACGTGACGCGTCGGACCTGCGGGGCGTGGTGGACTTCTCCGTGCCGGGGGCCCAGGTAACGCCGGGTGTTCCAGCGCGGTGCTGCGGCGGTGTCGCTGCAGCCAGTTCTCTCCACCTGCTGCTTCCCTTCGTGCTCGACGCCGAGTCTCTAATTCCGTCCCGTTCCTGGCTCGAAGACGCTGCTCTCCAGCGCTGGGCCTCTTATGGGTCGCTGTAATGTTTAAAAACTAGCTGGATGGCTAGAAACGGGCAGCTCTGAGGGCCCAGGGCCCCTCTGCCCGCCAGACCCAGAGGCGGGGTGGCCCAGGCTCCCCTTGGGCCGGCTGCCCGCGGCGTTCCGGGACCCTGCCCCAGGGCACAAGCAGCATACCACCTATTCACAGATTCACTGCTTTTGCTTATGTTTATTTACTCCCATAATGTTTTAATTAGCTCTCTGCACTGCAGGAAGGGATCTCCAAAGCCTCTAATAGAACCACGCATTACTTAAGGGAAGCAAAAAAACCACATGGATGTAAAAAAGCAAGTTTCACTGTTGGAGTTGACGCTGTCCCCTGGGCCTACTGGTCCTTGTCTTTGCCCTGAAATACCTGGGTGAGCTGGAGAGGGAGCTGGGATCAGCTTCCCCACACCGTGCGGTGTGTGCCCAGGGTTCTTGCTGTCTCCCCCTTGGTAAAGTTTCTTCTCCTTTCATACTCCTGTATAATAAACATTTGGCTTAGCCATCACGGCAAGCCCAACTCTTGCATTGGATTAGGGGCACGCAGTCAGGAGCACATCTGAAAGCAGTAGCCATCACGGTTAGTAGTTTATCATGTCTCAAGTGATGGAGAAGTGGTCCTTTAAACTCATCTTCCATTTTGTCACCTCACAAAAGGTTAACGCATATCTGCTGAAGCATTGTTAACCAGGGATTTTCTGCATATGAGCCTATAGGAAAAAAGGGAGTAGGCAATATAGTTAAAATGAAACTTTGCCTAATTTACCATAGTTCAAATGCTTAGCCCTTTCTTTTTACTGTTCTATTAGAATATATATTTTTCTGTCTTTCCAGACTATAATTTTGATACTGTTAACGGGACACAGAACCTGACCCACATGAAATTGTTCAAGGCGTTAGCATTAAACAAGGGAGTTGTTAACATTTCAGCCTTTCTTGAGCTTGCAGCAATCCTTTATCAAATAAAGGATTCCAGCATTACAGCCCTTCTGGGAAATTCAAAGTACTTGAACGCATGACAAGCATCTGTCCCCTCTCCATATGTTCTTTTTGTGCCTGTTACCTTCTAAGATCGGTTGATAGCTTACTAGTGAAAACATCTTTTATTCCTCTTTCCCCCAGGTTAAAAACATGTGGCTTTTCTTTTTAAGAAGAGCTACAGGCCAGGCAGATTGGCCCAGATACTATTGTTCCTTTTCTCTCAGAAAACTGCTTCAAGTGATTGAGCTTTTCAGTGAAGTGTGACATACCCCAGCTGCCCTGCTACCAGGCTTATTTAACTGATTCAGCACATGTAATTCTTCAGCATAGAAACAGCTCCTGTTCTCCAGAAGCCCTGGCAGCAGCTGGTGTGTAAGCAGTTTGAGAAAGCAGAGAGGTGGCAGAGTCTTAGTCAAAGGAAGAGCCTTCCTGGGGATGTTCTGCAGACAGGACTCCGAACTAAGTTCTTCAAGGCTGGCAGTTGCAAAGCTGCTTTTGTCAGAGAGATGTAAAATTGGTAAAACAGAGCATGTTGCCAGAAGCTGCTGCCCAGCACTAGTTTAGAGTTTTCTTACAAATTCTATCTACATAATTTAGACCTGTTGCTCAGAAGACGTTAACAAGAGCTGTCAGCCTGCAGAGAGACTGATTTACGCATTCACCACTGCAAAGTCTGCATGCAAAGGCCTTAATTTCCTATATGCTTTAAATTGTCACAAGCCAAGTCTTGCCTGTCTTTGCTTGCTTATTCCCACTATGCCTGGCCAGCTGTACTTTTACGCAGCCATGCGGAGAGCTGGACTGGGGAACTAAGCCAGGACAAAAACAACTTGCCTCTACCCTGCCCTCCCTAAGGTGGTTCCCAGTCCTAAGGGAAGAGGGGAGTGGGAACATGGTGGATGAGTTCGTTTTTTTTCAACAAGTGTTGGCTTATTGCAGCTTAAATACCTGTGTTATTGTGACCCAAGAGAGTACGTAAAGAAAATACATCTTGCTAAGCCTTGAGCTGTTGACCCTGCTGTTGGAAACAAAAGTGAAGTGGCAATGTGGTATTCAGGATTTACAGGGCTTCTGCAGTCCTTCACATCGAACAACTTTGGCCACTTCATCACAGTACTATTTCTCCTTACGTAAATTACAGATGAGAATAGTCATCTACCCTATGGGATCATGAGTAACTTGTATTTGGAACATTCTTTGAAGGTATAAAGTGTTACGGGTACTAAATATTGCTCTCTAATGGAGATTGATAATTACCAGAATGTTTTGTAATGATGAGGCTGTACTGTGGAAATGGACAAATAGGGCCAATTTTTTCCTCATTGTATAAATTGTTTGGGTTTTTTAATGAATGGAGGACATCTCTCCTGATCCCTAAGTTTTGTAAAAACTGTGGGTACCTTTTGATTCTTGTGTTAAGTACATACTAGTTCTGTTAGCAGCATGCCCTGTTCTGGTCACAGTTGCTTAGACAATAGTTCTGTGGTACACTTGGCATTTTCATGAGACTGACCTTGCGATATGGTAGCAGTCTTTCTCGTAGATGCTATTTTTGGGTGAGTTTTGTATTTCTTCCTTTTTTTCTGTTTTTTTTTCCTTTTTGTTTTTTTAGCCAGATCTGTTTTCTTTTGCCAGGTTTTCAGATCACAGCTCAGTGTTTCTTCAGTCAGTGATCAAGACGCCTACAGAGCAGGATTACAGCCAGTTAGCCAGTGGAAAGCCTATGGCCTCAATGGGTATCCAGGTAGGTAGTTCTGATTTCAAGAAGAATTAAACACAGCCTTGTTGCTTTGGATTCAGGCATCTTCCATCTTGTCCTCCTTGCCCTGCCTGAAAAAGCTGCTTTGGTTTGCCTAAGTGTAATGTAATGTTACTTTAAGTGCAGGAGGACAAATGACTCAGCTAAAGGGTGGGATGCGGCGATATATATGAAGGTGAGAACAGAAGGGCCAGTTGTTTCACAGTCTCTGATCAAGCAGTCCATCCCTCGTGAGAATGGATTCCTGTTGCCTTTGATAGAGATTTTATTTCTGTAGCATCTATTTTTCCTTAATGTATATCATGGAAATTAGATCAGTGACTGAAATACAGTCATTTCAGGGCTGAAGTGTGGCATCTACTTGCTGGCGTAGAACACCGAGTACAATAAGTGAATAAGAACGTCTTGTCCTGTTCAAGGTACAGAATAATTTCATTAGGCAGGTTATTTGAAAAACTGAAATGGATCTTAGGTTTGCAGGTCACCTGGTAGAATCACAGACAGATGTTAGGTTGGAAGGGACCTCCAGAGGTCTAGTCCAAATCCCTGCTTAAAGCAGGGCCAAGTTGAAAGTTAGATCAGGTCACTCCGAGCTTTGTGTGGGTGAGTTTTGGAAGTCTCCAAGGATAGAGATTACACACCCTCTCTGGGCACCCGTTCCAGTGTTAGGCCACTCTTGTTGTGATTTTTTTCACTTATATCTAATCAAAATTTTCCTTGCTGTAATTTGTGACTGTTGCCTCTCATAATCTTGCTGCGGACCTCTGAGGAGAATGTGGCTCCACCTTCACTATAATGCCCCTTTAGGTAGCTTTTACTAATGTAGGCCAATGTGTAATCAGCCTTTATTGCTGCAAGGGTGCACTACTGACTCGTGCTCAATTTGTCCTGCAGGATCCCCTGGTCCTTTGATTTAGAGCTGCTCCCTGGTCCTCAGGCCATACTGTTGCATGGGGTTATTCTGCCCCAGGTGCAGGATTATCACTGTTGAACTTCCTGAGGTTCATGTTGGCCCATTCCTTCGGTTTGTCAAGGTCTCTTTCAGTGGCAGCAGTAGCCTCCAGC